TTTTAAAAAGGTTTGATTTTGAGTAAACAAAGTGGACATGTGAAAATTTCACAGATAGTAAAAATTAAGATTATCCATTTTCAATAAAATATATACAAATTGACATTTCTATATATTTTATTGTCTTTATTCTTTGCATCGTTCATTGACAAATATTTATTTTCCTATTCTACCCCTTGTTATAGACAAGCGTATGGTTGCAAGAAAGAAATATGACAACAGCAGAAATAGATTTATGTGGTTTATTTCAACAGGAACTGAGGGTTTGGGACAGCTGCCTTGTGGTAAAGTTCATAGGCCGGCTTTGGATCTAGGTCGATCTCTCATAGTAGTTCACACATGTTGACGCTCCCCTGCTGTCAGCAGCTGAACGTGACAGGTCTCTATCCTGGGCACCTGTGGACTGCTGTTGAACTTTCGTATGACCCCTTTTATAGCTTTTTTTATGGCTTAACAGGCTCGAAAAACGAAGCGAGTATAATTAGGAGGGAAGCATTTTTATTGGACGAAATGTCAGCGTAGCGAATGAGTAAGTTTGCAGTGGCCTCTAGTTCGTCTCGGTTCGGGTGGTTTGGTAGCGATAGTCCTGTGTTATGTTTTAGCCAGGTTAGCTTTTGATCCAGTGTCTGGATGTTGGGCTGTAGTTCCATGGTAGGCTGGTTTTGGATGATGTCAGCTTGGGCGCCATATGCTGGATCGTTGGTTGACGATAACGGTGATATGATTGCGGCTGTGTGTGTTGTATATCCTGAGGAAAGTGTGCGTCTGAATTCTATAGTTGCATTTTGGTTGTCGATTAGATAGGAATCGAGCGTGTTGTGACGTAGGATATTTTGGCTGATCAGGATTGGTGTGGTTTGAGTAGTTACCAGCACATTAACCTCTTGGCTTCTCTGGGTAACTGAGATATTGGTACGATGCAGGTGGAGCATCCAGAGTCTAGCATTGCGACGCCAGAGAAGGTGATGTCCCTGAAGTTGAAGGTGGACTGGACGAGCGGTGAATGGTGAGCGAGTCCTTGAAAGTTAAAGGTGTGATGGCTAACGTGGGGGCATGGTGAACGAGGCATCACATCTCATCCTGCCCGAAGCGAAAATCCTGTTCCACATCATTTATGGCTTGTATATTGTCATTCGTTGCAGCGATATGGGCCTGTGCCCGAGTGCGAGGTGGGTGGCGATATACACAGTTGCGTCCATGGTGGCAGGGGCGACCTCTGAGGTAGTTCTTGCACGCGCTGATTCGTGGTGTGTGCTGATGGTTACTGTGTGTCGGATGGTGGCCATGTTCGGGAGGGTTGGTGGGGGCCCATCTGCTGTGGGTTTGGTTGCCAGCTGGGTCGGAGTGGCACGTTTCTTTGGTTTGACCGCTGTGGTTTCTGTGTGAAATACACAGTGTCGGGCGAAGTTGGATTTTACACCACGATCAAGGTACATTTGAGCTTCGGAGGCTATGCCAATGGCTGAATAGTGGTTGTCCATTGTCTTGACGAGATGTGGGTAGAGATTTGAGTTCCAAATTTTCACCTTTTCGCTCATTAGCATAGCGCCGATGATGGAAATAAGTTCATCGACTGTTAAGCCTGTATTTTTGTCTTTTTTGTATTTGTTTTTTTTGTGGACGGCTGCTTCTCTAAGGGTGTTTTCAAGTCGACCCTTGAAGTCTGTTAATTTTTTCCCGTCTCGTCATTCCAGGTCCCAGGCTTGACTGAGGTGTTGGAAGTTAGTCATCTGGCTTCCGTGGGCTCTAATAAGTATTCCTTCAGTTGTTCAAAGGTGGATATGTCCTTTTTTGAGTCAACCATCTGCTGAAAGATACTTTGGCCCAGTAAATCTTTAGCAGACTTGACGAATTCGCATTCCAGGCTGGGATAGGTGCTGAGTTCTGGCGTGACGTGGATTGTGTATGCTTTGTTTAGGGCCTTTATTTATCGGTTCACGTCGTGTCCAGGGTGAAAAGTTCTCTCTAGCTTCAATGTGTCGCGTATAGTTTGTTGGCGCATCATTAAGCTGTAATTGCCGTTTGTTTGAGCAGTGGGAGGTGTTGAAGTAGTTTTTAGGGCAGTCAGCATGTCGTTTATGTCGGCTTGAATTTCCTGTATCGTGGCTTCGGAAGGCTGTGTTGGTCCCATTTTCAAGTTGAATAGTAGTGTTTTCTGTTCCTTGATGAGAGTAAATAGTTCGGCTCAGGTGAAGCTCGTGTAGTCGGCCATATTTCTCTTGCTGTACACTTCTGACACCAGTGTTATAGACAAGCGTATGGTTGCAAGAAAGAAATACGACAACAGCAGAAATAGATTTACGTGGTTTATTTCAACAGGAACGTGTGGGTTTGGGACAGCTACCTTGTGGTAAAGTTCATAAGCCGGCTTCGGATCTAGGTCAATCTCTCATAGTAGTTCACACATGTTGACGGTGGTTGACGCTCCCCTGCTGTCAGCAGCTGAACGTGACAGGTCTCTATCCTGGGCACCTGTGGACTGCTGTTGAACTTTCGTGTGACCCCTTTTATAGCTTTTTTTATGGCTTAACAGGCTCGAAAAACGAAGCGAGTATAATTAGGAGGGAAGCATTTTTATTGGAGGAAAAATAGAACACTTTAAATATTTTTTATTTTTCGACCGGAACATGTGTGTCGGAAACATTTGTAAAGAAAGATAATGGTCATTTTGCGACAGGGCTTTGTCCCGTTTACATCCGGTTCTTGCTCTTGAGTATTTGCCTGTAAATCAGCCGAGATATGTCTTATTTTATTTTATAACACCCTCTTAAATTTTATCTATTGAACCCTCTTTTTATCTATATATCTTTGCCCATGTAAGTAATATTTTAATAGTCTGTTTGAATTCGTTTACTAACACTTTCAAATTTGAATCTTTGTAGGTGTGTATATGTGTGTGTCTTTATTAATATGTGTATGATCATTTATATATGTATTTCATTGTATGTATATGTTGTCTGTTTTTTGGTTTTGGTTGTGTACATCTATTTCTTGTTTCGTGCATGTTTATATATCTAAATATGTCTACATGTTTGTGTATTATAATCTGATTGTGTATGTATTGTCTTTTGCAAGATTTCATCCTCTCTGGCCCATATCACCACTTCAAATGTATCTAAGTTATAATGAAGCTTTTCATCACCATTAGGTTAATGTTTATTCTGAGATTCTGGCCTTTCAATTAAAACAAAATAAATAATAAAATATATGTATTTTTTCATCAATTTCTTCTGTGAACAATTTTATGTTTTAAACTCAATACAGATGAAATTTAAAATTGGTAAATTTCAATTTTATAGTAAAATTTAATATTAATTAGAATGATTTTTATTTTAGTCTAACCCTAACATTAAAGCATTAATTATTATAACCAAGGTTTAAGTTTTTTGAATTCTCATATACTTGTATTTTGATTGGTCATTGTAGCTTATGTAACAGCGTTTTCCCTATTGAGGGGTGTTTGGTTGATTTGAACCTTTTTAAAACTCTTTATTCTACATTCAACAACATCACTTGATAAGACACCAGAAGTGTTGAAACAAAATGGCTATTTTTGTAGTGATTTTATAACATATTTATGTTATGATTTTCGAATAAATTATATTTGCTCAACTCTGTATTGAGAACTCTTTTAAGAACAATGTTTTTTGGTTATTGGAATTTATTCTATATACATCAATCCTATATTTGTGTGTGTGATCTATCTATCTATCTATCTATCTATATATATGTGTGTGTGTGTGTGTGAAAAGTGTATATAAATATAAATAAATATATATATGTATAATTATTTATATATTATATGCGCAGTACTTATTAGAAAGCGCTCAATATCAGAGATAGAGCTAACATATTTGGTTGGATAGATGTGAGTTTGTGACCCTGGGTTTCACGCTTTAGCAATTGTCTGACGATCGCTAAAGTGTGAAACCCAGGGTCACAAACTCACATCTATCCAACCATATATATATATATATATATATATATATATATATATATATATATATATATAGCTGTGTTTCTCCAGTACTCTTCCTCTACTTCAATTTTCCAAAATCCTTCCAGCTCACACTTCTGGTTTGTGGAACTTCCTTCCGGCTCCATGCTTTCCAGCTAACTTTTATCTTCAAAAATTTAAATACAATATCGATTGTAATTCACTGTCTTCCTGATTACTTTTCTGCTGTTCTTGCTCCATAATAATGTTTCTCTCATTCTTTCACACACAGTAACCCTTTGTATCTTACTAACTTGCTTGGAGTAAATTTGATTTTTAAAAAGAAAAGAACAAAAATGCTTAATTAAATTTCTCTATGAAAAAGCATACTTGATTGCAATTGTTACAAACTAATGGTTGCACTCAGATACTATACTCTAATTTTAAGCAGAAAATGTGTATGGTTTACTTTTTGGGGTGTATCAATAAATATTAGCTGAGTATGGCACAGGATGTGGGGAGTGAAATAAGAGATAAGACTTCCAAGTGAGAAAAGCCTGCCAACCTAATAAATCAGTAATTACTTGGCCTTATACATTGGTCACAATTGGAAACCTGCAAATTTCTCCGCCATGAGAGGCCCTAAAAGTAGACAAAGCTTAGCATAATGCAATATTCCAACTGAGTACAGCTTGCCTATCTAGAAAGTCGGTATTCATAATCCTGGCTTCTTACTTGGCCTTGAAAACTGGTGTTAAGGCAAGCCATGTAAATATTTTATTTATAAATTGTCGAAAGTGATCTTTGGCAAGTAGCAACTTTCACTCGGGTGTACAATTTTTTCTGCATTCGTCAAATAGCTTAGGTGTGTGCAGTCCTATCAAGATTATTAATTATTCTAAATAGTAAGCAAGGAAGAGCACTAATTTAAACTCAACCTAATCCTCTGCCTGATATTTGTATTGATGAACTCTCTTGGACTTTAGTTTTAAATAGCATGTGTAAAATTATAAATTAAATGTCCAATCTCTTCATAATTTACCATTACTTTTTCTATTTGCAGTATTGTTGGTTTATTCAGCTGAAATTATCAATGAATGGGCTTCAAAAAATTACAGGTAAAATTTATATTTTGTTGTCCTTTTTTTATTTTTATTTTATTTTTTTTTTTTTATTTTTTTTTTTTTAGTGCAACAAACTGACAGCCAATCAGTTTAATATTATCTCATTCTATTCATTATATTATTTCATTCAGCAACAATTAACAAAGTAGCCAATGGATTTCAAAATAGGTTGTCTTTTTTTTTTTTTTTTTTTTTTTTTTTTTTTTTCTTTTCTTTTTTTTGTCTTTTTTTTTATTTTCTTTTTTCTTTTTGTCTTTTTATTTTATTTTTTATTTTATTTTTCTTTTTTTCTTTTTTTTTCTTTTTGTCTTTTTCTTTTTTTTCTTTCTTTTTCTTTTTTTTCTTTTTGTCTTTTTCTTTTTGTCTTTTTCTTTTTTTTCTTTTTGTCTTTTTCTTTTTTTTCTTTTTTCTTCTTTCCTTTTTTCTTCTTTCCTTTTTTCTTCTTTCCTTTTTTCTTCTTTCCTTTTTTCTTCTTTCCTTTTTTCTTCTTTCCTTTTTTCTTCTTTCCTTTCTGTAATTGTAATACTATGCAACATGTGGAAGGGAATATTTACAGTTTGTCATTAGGAATTAACCCTACAACTTTAATTTATGAAATATTCTTTTGCATTTACTCATGAAATGTTTGTGTGCATTTTGTGCTTTTTAAGATGAATTGCTTGAGATAGAATTCGTTTTATAAAATATTTGACTTTTCTCCACTTTATTTATAAATTGTTAATAAATTGTTTAACATGTTTTTTTTCTGCAATGTCCATGAAAATGTTGATTTTTCAAGGCATGTAGCCCTTGTCTCACCTTAATCAATTTGATGGACTAAAAGGTATTATTTGACAATTTTATTTCACTGTGTACATAATTCTGCAATTTTTTTTGTGTGCTTTATCTGTTCCTGTGATAAAAATCCTCTGACCACTAAACAATACATTTGCAGAGCTGTACTTGTTGAATCCTATTAGTTTGATAATGTCAAATATCTTACACTTAACATCAGAGATTTGCTTGTGTTATTCAATCTTGGCATTCACTAAATTGCCTTACATATTTTTTTAACTAATTTTAAAATTAATTTCAAATTTAAAGTTTTGTGAGCCTTAATTTCAAACTTTAATACAATCTGTAAAACAAGTTTTCATATGCAATAAGAATAATTCATAAGAATTTAATAAATAAATAATTAAAAAAAATCTGGTTGAACATTGTCTCCATAGGTGTAAGATTTTGCAGCAACATCTCAGAAATGTAGAACCTGAAAATTACTTGTTTCTCTTTCAGATTATTTTCTAAGGAACAATATTTTGACAGCCGTGGCCTCTTCATTTCGATTGTATTCTCAGTTCCAATTTTATTGAACTGTTTGATTATTGTGGTAAGTGTTAAAAAAAATCTAATCTTTTCTTGGATTCATTCAGACAGCTAAAACCCTATGCATGCATGTTTTTATATATATAATTATTTATTTGAAAATTATAACATAAATATGTTATAAAATCACTACAAAAATAGCCATGTACTCTTTATTAGTTGATGCAGAAATCTGTTGTGAAGTAAAGAGTACACCCCTCACCAACGTGACTCTATGAACTCATCCAATACTAAAAAGAGTTCTATGGTATGAGGTCGTGAGTAGATGTATTAGTCAGTCTTCATACTAACTATATAGCTGTTATGGCAATAGCCTAAGAATTACATATAGAGATAACTTAGCAAATATGTCATACCAAGTACAAGTGTGTTATAACAATAACCTTTTCATTAGGGAGTTATAATAGCTGGAAATAAGGATCTGTAAATTTTATATTTGTGTATCAGGACGATATTTTGATCAAGAGTGTGTCAAAAGAACACGTCAAAACAATTATGCAAAAACTAAGAATACGGATTCAGGCTTAGTGAAGAAAAATGTGAATTGTTTTTGCCAAAAATAAAATACCTGGGTCAAATTGACAAAAACAGTATGAAACCAGATCTGCCGTGGGCAAATGCAATTAGAAATGCCTACACAAACATAACTATGTTACAAGCTTTTATAGGGTTGGCTAATTATTATTGAATGTATGTACATAATATACATAATTTGACTGATCCGCTTAACAATCTACTGAAAAAAAAAAGGAGTAAAGTGGAATTGTAATTATAAATGTCAAAAAGCGTTTGACGAAATAAAAAAAAAAAAAAAAAAAAAAAACGTCTTACATCTGATTTATTGTTAGCACACTGATCCAAAAGCAAAAATTCTAGTAGCATCAGATGTAGTGATTACAGTGTTACAGAAATATGATGGTGATAAAATGAAAGCTTTCGCTCATGCTTCATGCTTGCTTCTACCAACAGAGAGAAATTACAGCCAGATAGAGAAAGAAGCTCTTGCAATCATATTTGCTATGAAAAAATTCCATAAATTTATTCATGGAAGAAATATCATGTTGCAAACAGACCATAAACCATTATTAGCAATATATGGTTCAAAGAAAGATATACCTACCCATACAGCTAACAGATTACAGTGCTGGGGTAATATCCTGCTAAATTATAATTTTACGATGGAGTACCAACCGTCAAAAAAAAAAAAAATTAGGACATGCAGATGAATTATCTAGGTTAATGCCTAAATGTGCAGAACAATTGGAAGACACAGTCACAGCAGCACTAAAAAGCAAGAGGGAAATTAAGAAAATTCTGTGCAATGTACAGGAATTTCCAGTTACACTAGAGGAAATTAAAGAAAAAGAAGAAAAGGACATATTTATTGCTAAAATAAGGAAGTCATTAAAAGAAACTAAAAGAGTACAGAATCAAGTGCTTACTCAATGATGGTGATGTAATGTACGGACAAAGAATTGTAATACCATATTAAAGGAATTTCATTCCCGACATCTTGTTGCCTTCTGATTCCGATCATGGACCACAGCAACCAAATGTCACCCTCAAGTCCCTCCCTGGTCATCCGAGTGTCCAATACACATGGCTGATCAATAAGGTGATCACTTTGATCCAGGCCTTGCCTTATCTGACATGATTAGTTTTGATCATAAGGTCGGCCAGGATCAAATCGTTATCAGGTATCTTCATATTGGGCTGATCCAAGTGGAATGATGACGCAAGAAAAAAAATAAATGCTTGAATAAAAAAAAAAAGAAAATAAATGTTTTTATATATTCCTGTGTACAATAGTTGGTTAGTTCATTATCAAAATCTAGCAGTTTGCATGCAGACGTTTATTGACCTAATCCAAATCTTAAGTTAAACATGACACTCTGCTGAGCGAAGTTTGGCACAAGGCTGCTGTCAGAGGTCCTCTTTGGGCAGGCAGTCACATGGGGTGTTTCTTGTCTGGTGTCTAGAACAATCTCTGTCATTTTGAGACCTTCGTATTGATTGACGTTCATCCAAAACTTGTATAGGGGGGCATGATGCGATTGCAGTATTCAGTATCTTCTCTACCTGTCACAAAGAACCCTCTTTCCACTATCTAGGTTCTGAAAATTAATTACTTCCAAATTTGGGAGATTCCCTTTTTCCATGAGTGGTGGTCACAGGTATTGATCCGCCCCATAACTTCTTCCTTCTCTTATTAGCATCTCCCACTAACACTCCTCAGTGGGTGTGGGTAGCTCCTCCACCTTCCTCAGTGTCTCATCTGCACCTGCTACCTTGGCCACACTTCAACCAATGGTTCTCGACTGCCTGGTGAGGCTTAATCACCAGATCATTAAAAGAATTATCTTTTGAAATTTATTCTACACAAATATTTTTTTTCTTGAGCCTATTGTCCAGAATAGACACAAATCACATTGGCTGTTTTTACAAGGAATCTTATTCTGAATTCTCCAGTATAGATTAATTCTTATCTGGGTCTATCCATTTTTGAATCTCTGCGACCAGCACTTTTAGTGGGTCATCAATCACTTGTTAGAATATTGTCATATAGCCCAGTCATAAAAGAGAAAATGTTGTTTTTAAACGAGCCTTTTGGTTCTTTTTAGAAATTAAGCTTTTTGAGAAATAAAATCTCCAATTTTTCCCACGGTGTTTTATTGGTACATCATTTGTTCTATTCCTTAACCCTTCTTATTATTTACCAATGGTCTATCGGTATATCTGTCGTTCCATTCAGACTCCTTATTTGCCAGGGCTAAATAGTGTCACATCCTGGCATTACCAGAATGGACAAAGATATCAATTAAAAGCATGTAGATGTTGTGCAGAACTACCTATCCCAAAGATAGGACCTTGCCCAAAGACAGACACTCCATGGTCAAGATTGCATATAGATTTTGCAGGTCGTATGGATGGAGCATATTATCTAGTGGTAGTTGATAGTTTTACAAAATGGCTGGAAATTTACAAATGCAAAAATCCTACATCCTCAGTGACAGTGAATTTCTTGCATGAACAGTTTGCGAGATATGGCATACCAGATACCATAGTATTGGATAATGGAACACAATTCACTGGAAAAGAATTTCAAGACTTTTGCAAGTTGTTCTCTGTATAATATATTATGACCCCCACCCTATCACCCAAGGTCTAATGGACAAATGGAACAGTTTGTGGGAACATTCAAAAGAGTGTTGAAAAAAGCAAGTCTAGATAAATTAAATGAGGAGGCATTTCAAAGTTTTGGGAGTGTACCAGTTAACACCTAACCACAACACAACACCAGACTTATTGTCATTGGAATTAATGTTTGCCAAAAAATCTGTGTTTGACAAGCTATTGCAAAGTCAATAATCACAAACAGTTAATAAAAACAACACCAATACTTTCAAGTTCAGCGATAAAGTATTCTTTGGAGCATACAAGGATGGGAAGGAAACATGGGAAGATGGCATATTAGCAGCTAGAATCAGAAAATTGATCAACATGGTGAAAGGGAAAAAAATTCCAACATAAAAGGCACCAAAATCAACTAAAGAAAAGATTAACTAATGAAAGTCCTGAAGAACTGGTTAAAATGCTGTATGAAATTTTTGATGTGCCATACGAAAACAAATCATTGTACCAACAAGGACAAGTTCAATGAAAAGAAAATCTACAGAAGAACTAGAAGTAGATCAGAGACTGAAATGCTACAAAGTAAAGTACATTGGTAAACTCTCCAAAAAGAAGAGCAGGAAATACTAATACAAAATAGAAAAAGTATATACTTATATACTATTATCAAGTATGAATCTGTATTATAACAATAAACTTTAGCCCATAAGGGAGTTATAATAAAATCTTAGCAGTATTTTAAAAATTTCCTCTGCTTCCTTATGCCAACATTTATACGACATTTTACTGAAAATCTGACAAAAATGAGTTCTGCCTGAATTTACAAAAACAGATCAGTTTCAGAATTTAAAGATTTGTGCTGCCTTCATAGAAAAACTGACACACACACATATATAAAATTTGTATGTATATATATATATATATGTGTGTGTGTGTGTATATATATGTGTGTGTGTGTGTGTATATATATATATATGTATATATATATATATATATATATATATATATACACACACACACACAGTCATCCACAGACAAACTGTTTCGCTGTATCACAGCTCCTCAGTGTGGCTAGGCATCTGATTGCTTCAATCTGGGATCAAAACTCGACCGATTCGACATCGGTCAGATATCTAGGCCATTGTCGCACGACAGAAAGGAAGGGAATTTTAATGTTTTTCTCTATATGAAATATGCCAGTGTTCAATTTACTTAAAAAGTAATGCTATATATATATATATATATATATATATATATTTTCGGTGACAAGCGTTGTCAAGCTCCATGAAGCAAGAGAGAGGAAAAAAGCCTCAGAAGGTGCCAGAGAAGTGCACCCTCTTTACTCACACGCTTACCCAATCTGTGGTTTTCTTTGCAAGTCATTAGCAGGTCTGAAATGTCACTCTAGATTCAAACATAAAGGTCATTAAAAAGTTGTCGGAACCTCATACGTCGAAATTGTCAGGAGAGTCCATCATATATATATGACAGTACATCAATAAACCTGTAGCTTACTAATGAAAAAAGAGAAAAAAAATAACCTTTTTACACAACTAATTCCTCAATTTCTCCTTGGTATTTTGGCCTCACTAACAGATCATGGATTTAAATCCAATGTATTTTTTGAATTCTACTTTTATTTGAAAATTATCATCATGAAATTTAGAAATCAAGTTTTTTTTTTTTTTTTTTTGTTTTTGTTTTTTTTTTTTTTTTTTTTTTTTTTTGGATTTTCTTTGTAACAATGAACACATATAACACCGGACTGGATTTTCATGAAGGTTTATTGATTGATAAAAATTAGGGTGTGTAAGTTAATAAAATTTTTCAAGAGTTTAATGCTTTTTGTTGTTAGTTTTTCAAGTTTTGATTTTTCAGCTACTGGAATAAATTTATAGATATAATAATAATAATAATTTTGGTTTCTTGGTTGGAAATGTTCAGTTAGATATCTACTTTGAAGAACCATTGGAAATTTGGCAGCCATAACTCTATCTGTCTTTAAGTTAAACAGAAACAGATGGACAGACAAAAAGATGTTTTGAATAAAGTTGACTGAAATGCTTCCTCACTTGAGATTTAGATTTTGCTTCACATTTGAGACTCACTAAAAATTTTATAATAAAGAAGAAATGTAAAATTATATAAGATTAATAAAAAGGTGAATAAATAAAAAAAACAAATAATACAAAATACAAGATTTTTTTTTTTATTATTGCAATTTCTTTTCAGCAGAGTATTTAAAAGATAATTATAAAAAGAAAGTTAGATGGTTAATAAAAAAATTAAAAAAAATCATTATCCAGATAAATTTGATATATAAAATTTAGTTTTCGAATTTGTAAAAAAAAAAAAAGGCTCAAGTCTTATTGTCTGAAAATCCACCAAAAGTAAGTCGGTGAACAGACAGGGTTTAAAAATATACATATTTGGGGGTTTTAACTCACAAGCAAGATAATTTCCACCTATGCAAACTTCATACTGGAATTAAATCTAAAACCAGTTTTGAGGTTATTTAAGAAGTCAAATTGGTCAAAAGACTAGAAAGATTTTAGTATTTGCATGCAAATGATGTGATACTGTTTCTGCTAATAATAACAACAATGACAATGATAAAGAAACTGAAAGAAAGGAAGCTATATGAAGATTCATGAAATTATAGGCATCAATCCTAATTTTGAACTTTTATTTTAAAAGAAAAAAGATTTTTCTTAATATTGTAGTTCATTTAAAATTTGAACTATTGTTTAAATTCCCAGTGATGTATGTGACTTGGCCAACCTTTTCAAAAGATTCTAGACTGTGGAAAGTATGTAAATGAGAATGTTATTGAAAGTGTAGTGACTTGGTAATAAGAATAGACAATTATAGATGTTTCTTTACGGATACATGAATAACATGACCACACAATTTATACTAAACGTAAAATACCACGAAGCATGAAATACAAGAAGGAACAAAATGGTTTTAAAAACATAACATTGTATTTATTTGTGTGTTGATGTTACATGTGGTGTAGAAGTTAAAGATCTGTTGGAGTTATGTCTCTTAGACCGAGAACATTTTTATCTGAACTCACAAAAGTTGAATTAATTATAAAGCTGAGAAATGCTGAATAAACTGTAGTTTTAGAAGAATATTTCAAACAGAAAAGTTCTTGTTGCATGTTTGGAAATGTTCTGTATGTTTGTAATGTAGGTTGGAAAAGTTTGTATGTACATGCATGAGTGAATATGCTTTTAACGTCTGACCGCTCATGGTCTACATGAGAATCCTGAAGATCACATCTTCTTAGTGTGTCTGTTATTTATAAATAATGTAATCATGTGACAGGATCACAGCAAATGGCAGGAAACTTGACTTGGTGATGCACTGGAAAAAATATTTGTTTGTGAGTGGATTGCAACGCCCACTTGTGTGTTTATTGAAGCTGATATTTCCTGAAAATATTTACTAAGCAGAGCAGGCTCTCTGATCCGCTTATTTACACAAATATGTACAAAATTAGGCATTGATAAGGAAATGGTAGCAGGATGCTACAAAAGAATTTATATATGCTTTTATGAGCCTATTTTAATTTTTGAATTGGTTATCTTGCCCTAATAATAAGGTACAGAAAAGAAAATTTTGTGCAAACTTATTTCTAAACTTTGTATTATGTCTTATTGCCATTGTAATAAAGGTTTGTTTTTCACATGTTGAAATATAGTTTATGTCTACACCTTACACAATACTCAGCATAAGAGATGTGACATTTTCTCTCTTTTCCTACTCTCACCAATAAAAGAAATCTCTTAAGACTTTCTAATCTAAAAGTTAATAAAAACAAATTTGTTACTGAAGTGACCAAAATTTTTCTAAAAAAACCAAATAAATCAAAACATCTTTTTAATCATTCATCCATTCATTGATTTTCTTTTTTCTTTTCTTTTCAGATGCTCTGGCTGTGGAATGTTGGTAATTTCATTTCCAAAGTAAAAAGGTTGAAGTACAAACAGCAGGCAAGGGCCCAGAGCCTAAAAAATAGCGGCAACACCAGTAGCAGCAACTCTGATGCTAAAGAGACTAAAAAGGTGAAATGAGGCAGTAATTGAGTGAGAAGCCACCCAACAATCAATCCATTTATAATGAGTTGTCTCCCTTAGATTGCCACATAGCAGTGCACCGCTTGCAGTTTCTCTTCTTCTGAAGACGGTATTTTTTAATTCAGTATTCGGCAGTTGCAGAGAAACACTTCTCTTTCTCTGTTATTGTTTTTTTTTTATCTTGTCCATTGTTTCTGTTTTTTTTCTTTTAACTGACAAAATAATAAAAAAGAAATGGGGTGAAAAGTAGTTTTATCAAAATGCAATCATAAAAACTGAAGCTTAATGAGATTACAAATAAAACTATTTTTCTAGTAACCTTGCCTTCAGCCAATTTTATTATTATTCAAGTTTTCCATTATTATTTGTGACCATATTTTATATTGTCAGTGTGCTGCTAGCCAATTTCATTTTTTTTTTTTTTTTACTCTCTTGACAACGTCTTTTTAAATGCACAGAAAACAATTCTTTGTAGTAAAAACTGAAGAAAAAAAAATTACCAGAAACCAGTCTGAAAAAAAATTCGCTCAAAAAATAATTGCAATAGATGGAGCAATGGTACTAGACTTGGTTGTAGACAAAAAAGTTGTGGCCTCTGGGAAGAAGATGAAATTAAAACGGGACAAAGAAAAAAGAAATTCTTATTTAAGCAGACCAAAAGATGAATGGAGATTGAGAGCCACAACTTGAGGATTAAACTGCATATTTTTATACTGTTTACTGCTGCATATTGTTTATTTATTTATTTTCAAATAAGGAATCTCTCTCTCTCTCTCTCTCTCTCCCTGCCCCCATTCATTGTGTTTGCATCTTACTGTCAGATAGATTAGATTTTTTTTTTTTTTTATCTCTCCAAAATTGTCTTCTAAAACTTGGTTCTTTTTCAATGATATAAAACATAACAGTATCTAGCTAATTCAATAACATAATGCAGTGTAATGGCATCAACTTATTTAACCAAACCTAATACTGCATGACTAATTTGATAATAAAATATTGACAATTTCTAGGGTTTTTTTTTTTTTTTTTTTTTTAATTAATTAAATTTTAATTATTTCTTTAGTCTTATGAAATTTACAATAACCACATAGCAATTGTGGTATTGATCACTCTTTTTCCTTTGTCTTGAATAAGCCTACATCTTGCATGTTTTTGCCAACATCAGTTTGTCTACCAAGTATAAAGATTCATATTTTTCTGGAGTTGGAAGTTTTTAGACAACTTTTAATAATTAATAAAATTTAATGAGAATATAACATTTGCTTGTTACTAAAAAATCATTACAAACTTTCAAATGTAAAGACCTTTTCTTCTACCATACAACACACCATGTCTTTTCTTTTTCGATTTTTCAGAGTAAAAAGGTTATTCAAAGTGCTAAAGAATAAATATTGAAGAAAGCCTTGTTTGAGAGTTTTCAAATCCATTAACTAAAACAATCAATATTTGTAATTTGTGATAAAATTCTACTGCAATGTCAAAGGTCATGTGGTTGTTTAAATCCATGTGCACCCATTAAAACCTCACACAAATCATGTTGAGGTAAAATTTCAACTTTATTCCTGTCATAATTATTTTTAGCGTCAAATTATATTTTCTCCTGTTAAGGTTGAGATTTCAGTGTTTTTGAAACATTTGTTTAAAATACTCTTTATTCATTGGTTTTTCATATATTTGTTCATAGAAGTAAATTTTGGCATAAGGCCCTGTAACTGAGCACTTTTTTTTTAATACTTATATTCACCAATACAAGGTCCAAGAGCCACTCAAGGTAGATGGTTACTCTGTGGTGTTGTATGAGCATAAGAAAAAGCAAAAAATGAAGTTATGCAGTAAAGATAAGTTAGCCCTCAACTTGAAGAGATCAAAATTGTTATGATTGAAGTCTGTACTACAAAGCAACAGTTCTTGGGAAGTAGCTGTCTGAGTAGAATTTACTTCTTGCTAATAGAACACTAAGGGGATGAGGACACTTCATCTTTGTATATGGGACATGTCCAGTCCGAGTTGCAAAGGTCAGTAAGGAATGTACTCTATCAGAACAGATGCCATAGAAATAGCAATAGTAGTGAAAGTCTTGCAACATTTTGTCTGTGGGAAAGGAGTTGTAGAGTGGGAAATCTTTCCTCACTCACAACACTGCAAGTGAGGATTGTGCCGCTCCAGCCCAAATATGGCAGCAATCCTCCATTTTTGCTCTTGTAAAGATAGTTTAGCAGATGGAGTCATTTTTCTAGCATCTTTAGCAATAGAATGGATTATATGTACCATGAGGTCTGCAGAGAGCTTGAGTCCCAATAGACCTTCAAGACAAGGAGAGAAAATTCATCCATCATGATGGGTGAAAGTTCAAGGTCTGAACTTATGGAATTCTCTTCCAGGCTTTTGCTTCCCAGTCAACTTTGATCTTAAAAAATTTAAATGCAATGTCAGTTGTTATCTTCTGTCTTAATTTTTGTTCTTTTACTGTTCTCTCTCCTTAATGATCTTTTTTTTTTCTCCTCCTATTCTCTGTCATTCAGTAACCTCCTCCTTTGCATCTTAGTGACTTTATTGCCTTGCTCGAGATATGATTAAAAAACCAAAACATCAAGGCCACTGATCCTCAGAATCAATTCATAGTTTAGTACTTTACTGATTTTGTGAGTAACGATAGTTAAGACATCAGCTGCGGATTTAAAAAGGTGAAATCCATACTGCTTATCATTCAGGAGGTTGCCCAACAAATTTGGTAAAGAATAGATTTGCTGTCAGGTTTGCAAAACTTTGTGAAATAAATATTTTTGTAGCCTATAGTTTTGTCTCACCAAATGTTAGGGCACAATTAATATACAACCTTGTATAAATTAATTGAAACAACCACTTTAGTTTCCTTTCTTTCACCATACAGTCAGTTTTAGACCCACTGGATTGACAGGCTAAAATTGATTTCTATTTTTTCCTCAGGTCAATTGCAGTGTATGAATCTATTTTTGGGGTGTATGATGAAATTATTTTGGCCTTGAAAAATATTGCATCATCTGTGATTGCATCAGATTTTTATCATGCCCATACACGACTGTCAATTAGTTGTCCTACGGTCATTGTCTGCGATGGACGTTACTCCAAGGAAGCATACAAAAATTGTAATGCTGCACAAACACACTGGGAAGCCTTACCAGTGAGAAAATCAAAGTACTAGACTGGTCTGGAAACTCTCCTGATATAAATCCGATTGAGAATTTGTGGTCAATCTGCAAGGAACACATGGAATGGACATACGAAGTACTAACATGTGAACTGCATCATGTTTCATTGGAAAAATATGAAAAAAAGTAAATAGAATTATTTATTTTGTTTCAATCAATTTGCACAAAGGTGTAGGTCTGGGAATTTGCATGACATCAAGGTTCAGTGGTGCTACCTATGATTACTTTTACATACTACCTATCCATGACATTTTAGCAGATCAGTGTCTCTTTCCCTGCACATGAAAGCTGATGTCATGCTTGCAGGATAGTTGTTACTTTGAAGAGTGCTTCTAATGCTGATCATCTCCTCTTGATATATGCCTGGGTCATTATATATAAGTTTGGCTTGATTTTCTATACTTCTATTCAGTGACTCTTGAGAAAAGAAAAACTTCTGCAAGGCACTTTGATATTAATTCCAACAAATCTAATCACATGAATTAATCTAAGTTGTTTATAAAATTGAAATTTTGAAATTCAGTTTTTTTTTATAAATCACGTTTTATGTAATAGCCTCTTTTTGCCAAATTTTTCTTCAAATTTCAATATTGAGCCACATTTTCCTTTTGAAACGGATTTTTTAAAAGCTTTTTTGAGAAAATTTGGTCAGTGAGTAAACAAGATTATTTTGTTGTATCTACAAAGATTTTTAAAGTAGAAATAAGAAAAAAAATTATAATTTCATAATGTTTACAAATTATTTTCCTTTGATCTTATTTAGAAAATTATTTTAGATTGAACAATGTTTTTAATGTCTTTGTTCTTATTTTCTTTTCTTTTGAAATAAATGGTATGAAAATTGGTGAAGAATCCTTTTGACTTTCATGTTTTGGTCTTTATTCTTGCGAATTAATGTAAAACTTGGAGAATCTGAATTTCGCTGCTTTCCAACTCTAAAGATTTAATTCTGATATACTCCAGCAATTCTTCAAAATTACTAATTGCTATTAAATAAATAGTAATCTATAGACTGAAGTTAAAAGTATTTTGTTTCCCCCATTTAAAATGATTTCATAAATCACAATTTATTTGATGAAATGACAATAAATCTTTTTGAATTTCACATTTCAAATTAAGAGTCATTAATATATTCAACATTGGCCACTCAAACCTCTTTTTGCATATTTGCTGTTTTTAACTCAACATTTCAGTCAATCTATTCTTTAGAACTCATCAGGTGTAATGTGTGAAATAAAAAGGACCCTAAAAAGGTAGAAGAATGAAAACAATGTAGATTTGGTAAAATAAGAACAACTTAATTATCATAATTTTATAATAGCAAAATAGAAAAGCTGTTACAATAACAAAAATGTGACATTATTTAGGGTTGCGTGAAAAGAAAAAAAAAAAGGCGAGAATTAAGTAAGGTGATCAGAATCTATCACGAAAAGACGATGTTATTTTTTTTCTAACAAGGAAAAGTCGTAAAGATTTTATTTTCATTAGCGAAGAAAGTAAGATCTTGGTAAGATGGATTTGATTTGATTTATGTTACAACAGAGCGAATACAAGATAGCCATCTGTCCATGGCAATAACGAAAGTTTCAGGTTGGTCAAGTGGCCTACGAAACAGAAACTGAGAGATAAAAATTAATTAGGTCATGCACTGGCCGAAAAACAAAATGTCCGTTGGACCACCCAAGTTACAAAGAAAGAAAGACTGACCCATTAGCTCTCTACGGAGATGTCGTTTGGAAAAGGCACCTGTTTTGTGTCAAGAGCCGGCCATGATAGCAAAATTATTTTATCAGAACGAATAATTGGCTG